ATTATATATAAAAGCAAATGGAAAGAAGTTTCATCATGTTCCTATTCTTTCTTACTACTTCCTTACCCTAAAAGAGAAGATAGATATTTCTAGAAATATTCAGTGAAGAGATGAAAAACCTCCATATGGTAGAACTGTGATAAAAAAAAAACTGCATAGCAAAATTCTTCCTTTTATCAAACCCCTCTTGTCCACTATGATTTGAACCATTTGCTTTTGTTTTATTTTAATAGAAAGAAAAAGGTAACTACTTGCACTCTGGTTCAATATGGCAAAGAGAACACATAAAAATCCCTTGGTTCTTTTCTAAATGAAGAACTATGATGATACAAAGCTAAAAGGAAATAAAAAGAATGAAAATTTGAAACTAAGTTAAAAACCATAAGAATAAAGTGAAATATTTTGTGGAATCATATGTAGATGAGTGCAGTAATAACTTAGAGCCAAATCAACCTGTCAGCTGGCAGCTGGGACAACACACAAATAGGTATGGCTACACAGCCAAACATGGAATTATAGTCTGCACATGGCTTCTTTGTGATGTTGGTGTTGTGGTTTGCATCTTTAATGTTCCTGTAAGACCTAATGTTGAAGGCTTAGGTGCCAATATATTGCACTACTAAGATTGAATAAAACCTTTAGAATGTGGGGCCTAGTGGAAAGAAGTTAGATCTTGGTGAGAAGGAATTTCCTTGAAGGAAATATTGAAACCTTGATCTCTGTCTCTCCTCTTTCTCCCTGCCTGATTGCCTGCCTGATGCTGCATAAACAGATTCTTTCACTCAATACATCCCATCATGCTAGCCTTCATAAGTCCAAAAGCAACACAGCCAAATGACCCTAGACTGAACCTCTGAGAAGGTGAACCACAATAACCCTTTTTCTTTTCAGTTAATTTGAGTTTTCTTACATTTATTGTCATAACAATAAAAATGTGACTAACATGGCTGGGAACCAAGGTCCCATGTCTCACATCTAAAAAGGCTCCAGCATAATTCTGCCCACACTGTGTTGTTTCCCAAAATAAACTGATTATCCAAGGTTGCCAGTTGTAGTTGAGGTCCTACTTCAAGAACATTATGAAGCAATAGTACTACAAATTAAAACAAAAGTAGAAACAAAATATCAAGACAGGAATAATGTCAAAAGAACTAAAATAATCACTTGTGAAGGAAGAAAGTGCTCATTCCAGATAAAATCTCATGGAGAATAAGCTTTTAAACAATATCTAGAAAAAGAAAAAATTGAAACTAAGCAAGCTATCAAGAAACTGCAAAAAGTGAGAATTTACATATAAAAAACCATAAATATTTCAACCTAGAGAAAATTTCAAATACTTAAAACAACAAAACAAAAAAGAGTGAATCCCAAGAAATTATAACATGATTACACAATAACATTTCAACATTTTAAAAATAAAATCCAAAAAACTTGGAAGAAAACACAGTTATTGAAAATAAGATAAATAAACAAAACCTAACATGTTGTCTAAATAGTACATATGAAAGGAATTTATAAACTATAGAATGAAATTGATGAAGTATCACTGTGGGAAATATGTGAAATAAAAAAGCAAAGGAGATATAAGGAGACACAGAGGACAAATTAAATGGGGTGCAAAAATACACATGAGAGACATTTTATAGCACTGGGGAGGCTGAGGCAGGAGGACTAGTGTCACACCAAATCCAGTAAATTTTGTGTGACAAGTTCCACAGACTGAGACAATAGCTTCAAAAGAAGGAGGTGTCCTGGAACTGGTTGTGGAAATCTCAGTCAGAGAAAAATATTGGGCTGTGATTCTCATGGCAATTTCTGTTTGTTCTTCTATTCCTTTTTCATATTAACAAAATGTTACTAAAAGCCTATGCTGACATTTTAAACAAAAGAAATAGATAAGAAACCATCCCCTGAGATGGGGTCACTAGCCATGACCTCATCTCCAGAAAAACCAGTGCTTTCCAAACCATTCACGTCATTCACGTTTGTACAAATAGTAAAAACTTTCCCAACAATAAAATTTCATATAACTGTACATATGTCATTGAGAGTGTGCTTAAGTGTCTGGTAAAGGAAGCTTTTAATAAGAAAGAGTTAAAATAGTCAAAATAGCTCAATATTTCAAAAACTCACATGAACTAGGTAATATATGTTGAACAATAATTCCCCTTAAAATATATTAATTTGATTTAAGAAATATGTGGTTAGCCTTGGATGATTCTATGTTAAACAAGGACAAGGATGATTCTATGTTTTGGATTTCTGCGTTACTGTGCCAAGTAACAATAATGTCATATGATTGAGTTTGCTTAACAAAAACATCCCCTGAGAAAACATCTCTATTAAAAAGCCTTGTTGGGACTGGGTGTTGGTTTCGCATACCTTTAATCCCAGGACTCGGTAGGCAGAGACAGGCAAAGAGTTCGAGACCAGCCTGTTCTACAAAGCTACACAGAGAAACACTCTCTCAAAAAACTAAAAAAAGCCTTGTTTGAGAACTGCAAAATATACTCAGATTCAAACTGCCTCTGTGTTTGTTTCTGTTTGTCTCTGCCAAATCCTTACACACCTAGTCTTCGAGGACCCTCATGCCATGGGACTCCCAAACCCCACTGGGTTGTCCGTGGCAGACTACTCAAAAAATAAATGAAGATAGATAAATAGATAGATGGATGGATAGAGAGAGAGAGAGAAAGCGAGAGAGAGAGAGACAGAGATAGAGAGACAGAGAGAGATTCAACAATAAGAAACCAATATAATGCAATGTTTCTCAACCTTTGGGTTGCAACCTCCACAAGAGTCACATATCAGATACCCTGCATATCAGATATTTACATTACGATTCATAACAGTAGCAAATTATAGTTATGAAGTAGAAATGAAATAATTTTATGCTTGGTGGGTCACTACATCATGAGGAACTGTAGTAAAAGGTCAGAGTATCAGGAAGGTTGAGAACCACTGATGTAGGGAAATGATTATTTTTACAAAATGATAACTGACAAATAGATTTCTAAGCACTTAGACTGAAAAACAACCATACCACTAGACATGCTCATGCACATCTTTAATCCTGGTACTAGGGAAGCAGAGGCAGGTGAATCTCTATGAATCTGAGACCAGCGTGATCTACATAGTGATTTAAAGGACGGTAAGAGTGATGTAGAGAAACCCTGTGTCAAAAAAAATCACCAAAAAGCAATCATACCAAACAGACTAAAGGAAACTAAGTTATACACAAAAACATTTTAGTATGTTCATCAAAGTAAAAGGGAAAATCTTTCTAGATGAAAGATAGAAAAGACCCTAAATCAGAACTAAAATCAAATACTTATTTTTATCCACAAACAAGTCGTTTAGAAATAACTTGAAAGTGCTGAGGGAAAATGAGCATGTGCCTAAAATTTTATACTCAGTGAAACTACCATTCAAGAATAAGAACATCAGATATTTTGCATGTAAGGATTACAGAACTTTGGCACAACTACTCACAGAAATAGCTTGCACAATGAAGAAGAAACATCAACTTTCTCAGAAGTAAACTGCAAGAGCAAGGAAAGGAAGAACAAGCTTGTTTCTGTGTACCTTTTCCCTCTGGGCATTTACAATCTCAATTGTCTTAACACTTCCCCTTTCTCTTAGAATAGCTGCTAGCCTCTACTTTCCATTTTGTCAATAATTGTGTTCTACCAATGATTCACGATCTAAGAAAGTGTGTTTTAGATAAGTTCCTATTACATTAGACCACTTTGTGAGACTTCTTGGAGAGATTTTTATGGTGATTTAGTAGGCAATCTGTCAGACTAAAGAAAAGATTTCCAGAGAAGCCATTTAATCAGAAATACTACTCTCTCATTTACAAGAGCCTCTTGTATATTATACCATTTCAATCCAGCTTAAGCAGAAGCAAATGAACACATTCAAAAAACAGCAAGCTCATGTAGGAATTTACTCTGTAAAGTAACTTTTAGATTGGTCAATTCCTTGTCTCTTGAAGCTGATATTATCGTCACCAACATTTAAAGTGATAGATCTGTGTGTGATATTTTGTCACCTGGGAAAAAGAATGCTTATGTTTGTTGAATTGTATTTACTAGGACAGAAAAGCATACTTTATAAAGTAATATCAATAAAGCAGTACACAGTAAAATGAAATCCTGCAATTAATTTTGAAGAGTTCTCTTACTTCCAAAAGTCCACTCAAGAACCTGCACCTTAACAATTCTTCTGTTCTGCAGCATAACCTAGAGGGTAGGAAGGCATTGACTTTGCAGATCTCAAAGTTAGATAACTGTCCCTTGGAATGCCATTGGGCTGACAGGCATTCTCTGAATTTCTCCATGGTGCAGGGACTAGACCCAAGTCATTTCAGAATAAAGTGTAATGGAGGGGTCATATACCTCAGAAAATACCCTAACCACACACTGTGAAAGTAGCCTTCCTAACAACCTTGAGAAAAAGCCTCTAGCTGGCTCTCCCCAGACTTACTCTTAACAGTGTGTACCTAATAACCGTACAGTGTGGAGGAGGTGACTGCTCAGCAGGCAGGCAGCTTTATACTGCTATAAACCTTACTGGTTCAGTTCCTTTGATTTATGAATAGCTCTTCATCATTTTGAAGCTATGCTTGGATGCAATTCCAGCACTAATTGTATAGGACACGTGCCACAATGATACAACCCCCCTGTTACCCACTGGCCATGGCAGGAAGAGACTGTTTATAGCTATAATTCCTTTTTTCCCTTTTCATTCCCTTTCAAATGATTAAAAGCCCAATGAAAATCTGTTACTGGGTACCCAATAACATATTAGAACCCAGAATGTGTCCCATTTGGGCTATCAAGTGTATTTAGGGGAGCAGCTTAAGTTGTCTAAAAGTGGTCTATTGTTTTCCTGACTGGAAGTTTCCCTTCTGGAGGAGTTTAGAAAGATTAACTGGGTTAGGTGAAGAGGGAAAACAGAGACACACAGCTTGGAGGAACAGAGACAAACTGGATTACCTGGGCAACGGGGGCAACATAGATGAGGAATATGCACGGGTGAGAGGCAATGAAGGCTTGGACATCTGACTCGGCTGCAAAGCACATTCCCATTCTGAAAGAGAGAAGGCAGAAAAAGAGAAGAAATGTATTTCAAAGGTCACTGGGATTCTGCCAGTTTGGGAAACAGTCATGCAGGGACTCACCCAGACAGTGAATAATGCATTCCCAAGAATCTGAGTGCAATCATCCTTCTTTTAAAAAAATGCTCTTAGCACCTCTGCTGGGTTGATTGGAAGCATATCAGCATACTTTTTTTGAGGCTGGGTTCAACACAGTCCCAGTTATGGGAGGCTTCCTCTGGCTTGACTTTGTGATAGTTCTACCCTTCCCAATTCTAGCTGCATGGATTTTTCAAGAGTCTATTCTGATTTCACAACCACCTGCCTGATGCCATGGAAGAGAAGGGGTGGTGAGTAATAGGTCCCCTGAGAGCTGCTTCCCAGCCCTGGCAAAGAGACATCCCTAGCATGTGAGTCCTTGGCTTCTACAGAACCAACTTCCTTGATTCAGTAGGCTGTGTGACTCCTCTCCTCATTTCCCTTTGCAGCCAACATTTGTTTCTGAGAACAAGCTAGAACTAGAAACTGAGCTGATCAGCTAGTATGTCTGGATGAGGCAACCTGGTCCCTGTATGACTTAGAGATACATGATCCCAACTCTGACAGCTCTCAGTCATTGCCCAAAGAAAGCAAGCTTTGGAAATATGTTTTGCATTTACATTTCCCATCCATAATTCATCTGAAGGAAGGGTAACTTGCATCTGTCAGGTTGTTTCAGGGTAACGGGTGGTGAAGTGCACAGAGAAAGAGTATGCCTAGTGTGTAAGCTGTTGGCATCGGGATCATGTTAACATTTTCACTGCCTTGTGGACTTCAAAGCCTTGGCCCCCAAGGGCTAGCTGTCCATCTCCAATGTACTGAGTCAAGAATCTGACAAAATAATGCCATACCAGGCAGTTAATCAGTCCCCAGATGCTCAGTTTAATACAAGCCCCAGCCACTTAAAGAGGCAGGCTTCTTTTACTTAGACTGGAGTCACCTTACCACAACTCTTCCTTCTCCTCATGTGCTTTCTAGAATAAAGTTTTGTAATGTTGCATTTGGAAACATCAGAGAGGCTCTTAATGTACCACTCTCCTCAGGGTCGGGTAGTAGCATACAGAGATGATCTCAGAAGCACATGAGAAAGCATAGTTCTGGTGGAGAAGAAAATTCCATCTTAATGAATTTTGTTCTAGACTCCAGAGATCAGTAAGAGCACTGATAACCATAATGATAATGATGACAGTAGCAGTTAGCACTTCTCACTCAGACATTGTTTTAGGTGAATTAATGAATTTAATCCTTACTACAACATATGAAATAGGTAATATCATTATGGTTTTTTTTAGAGAGGTAGACTCAAATTTCATGATCCTCCTTGGCTCAGTCTCCTGAGTGCTGGGATCCACAGGCGTGCTCTGCCATGCCAGACACTGTTGTCCTGTTTTAGAAGGAATCTCAGAGAGTTTATAGGTAAATTATCCAACACACCATGTACCATAGGTGGCTCACTTTAGAGTCTGGAAATTTGGCTACCTTGAAGCTAAAACTCCACAAACCCTGAATAACACTGCCATTATAATACCTGGAGGGTGTTTTATACATGGTAAAAATTTGAAAAGCCAGAAGTTCTGTTCAAATGGCAGAAGAGCAGGCCTGTGAGTGACTGTGCCTGCTCTAGCTGGGCACATGACAGGCGTTACATGCAGCCCTTATAGTAGTTCATTCTATGCATTCAGAATTCCCAGTTTCTAAAGATTATGATGAGACTTTCCTCCCCAAATGGGTTAATGGTGTGGTTTTTATCAAGGCAACTAAATATGTCTGGAGACATTATTTATTGCCACAATTAAGGTTGTTTCTACTGTCATCTAGAGAGTAGATTAATTTTCCTACTATATTACTCCTCTACCTTCTCCAATTATGTCCCATATAATTAGTCCAAAAGGCTACAGAATTTTATTTATAGTAAATATTCACTAAGTTTAAGAAAAACAAACCAAACCTTTTAAGTTTATTTAATTTAATTTAAATTAGAAAAAAGTTTGCTTCACAACCAAACTTTAACAGGGGGAAAAAGCAAGATATTCCTTGCAATCTTGTTCCCATTCTTTTCCCCAGCTCTCTCTAAAGTAAATCTCAAATTTGCTATGTAACCAAGAATGGTCATTCTACTCATTCTTCTGCCTGTACCTCGTGTGTGCTGAGATAATAGAATGTGCTATGATGCCTGGGTGTTTGCTAATATCTTTTAGGTTTTTAATCACCTAGGCTACCTGGCCAAATGAGCACTTATAACCTCCCTGTGTGCTAAGGAATGGAATGAGAAATCCTATGTCATAAAGCATTGTACCTCTGTGCAGATGCAGTTCACACAGTAAACCAGTCCATAAGGTTCCAAGTAGGGATGCCATTTCTCACCCACTCTATACTTCTTGTCTTGAAACACACAATATGTCTCTGAATCTGTTTAAAACGGGGAAAAGTGGAGAACAAAGCTGTTAGAAAATATTGACCAAATCACAAAATCTAAAGACAAATCTTGCATCCATTTTACTATGTACATCAAGGGAAGAGTCATTGCATTTGCAGAGTGCCTACTGCTGGCTCAATGTTTTCTGTATTTTGCTTACTGGATCTTTATGATAATGCCAAAATTAGATATTACTATTAGTCTTACTTTATGAATAAGATGATCAACAGACATATAACTAGTTAGTAGCTGAGATGACATTCAAACCCAGGTTGATCTGACAGTGGAGTTCAAAAATCTCACTCAAAGATCTGTTATAACAACAAGATAAGAAAACATACCACTGGCTTTTTTATTTCCTTTCCAGAGATAAAGCAATGAACACTTGTTTCCATTTAGCATACAGAGTTTTTGAGCATAAACAACCTTTCAGTTAGCTCAAATAATATAGTTTCCTTTTTTGAATTGATATTTTTACAGGGCTGGAGACATACCTTAGCAGATAAGCCTACTACCTGTTCTTCTAGAGAACCTGGATTCAATTCACAGCACCAACATGGCAGTTCAAAACCAACCATAGCTCCATTTCTAAGCAATATGATACCATTTTCAGCTTCTGCAGGCAACAGGTACACATGTGCATAGGCATACATGCAGGCAAAATACCCATACACATAAAATAATACATTTAACAATTTTAAATTTCAGATAGACATACTTGTTTATTTTTATTTTTATGTGTATGAGTGTATTGTCTACATGCTTGTCTGTTCACTATGTGCATGCCAGTGCCCATGGAATCCAGAAGAGGTGTTGATTCCCCTGTAACTGGAGGTGTTGATGTTTGTTATCTGCCATGTTGGGTCTGTGAACTGAATATGGGTCCTCTGTAAAATCAATAAATGTTCTTAACCACTGAGTCATCTCTCCAGACCCTAAAACTTTTTTTGAGACATGGTTTCTCTGTGTAGCTTTGGAGCCTATCCTGGCACTCGTTCTGTAGACCAGGCTGGCTTCGAACTTATATAGATCCGATTGCCTCTGTCTCCTTAGTGTTGGGATTAAAGGGATGTGCCACCATCCCCAGGCCTCCCTAAAACTTTTATAGTTGAAATTTTCATTACATTGAAAGATTTTTGAGCACATTCCATGTTACTTGCCATGATTTACATGTCTTAGTTATCAAAAAGTAGACATCCTTTATTCTTTATGCTCAATCAATCCATCACATAACTCCATATACACTGGTCAAGGAATGAAAGCAAACACCACAAAATCCAGTTATATGGCTCTTGGGTATATACCCAAAGAATTGTACATCTCACTACAGAGGTATTTGCTCATCTACTACCATTGTGTCTCTATTCATAATAGTCATGAATTAGATAACTCTAGATGTCCATCAACTGATAAATACAAAATGAAAATATGGTATGATTCAGATGTTAAGAAAAATGAAACTATGAAATCCACAGCTAAATTGATGGAGCTAGAACCAATCATCCTAAATGAGACAACCGAGACCTAAACAATATTGCATATTTTCTCTTATATGTGGAAGCTAGCTTTTATGCTGTATACATATTTATTTTATTTAGAATAACCAAAGTTGTTAGGTGGCTAGTAAGGAACCTGGTTGGTGGAGGGGATCTTCCAAAGAAGGGAAAATAAAATATAGAATTATAAAGGGAATAAAAAGGAAACTAGAATAGATTAGGAAGACTAAGTGGGGAGGGTAAGGAGAGGGTGTGTAGAAAGAAGGAATATGGGAAGAGACAACTAATACTGGGAGACAATGCTCCATCTAGACATCGTATATTAACAGGTAAAGCCAACAACACCAGAAATTGGTTATACCTTGTTGACTTATTAATCCAAGTGGACCTATAGACCTCTACAATCCTTATAGGCTATTGCTAAGGCTACTGGTTACTGTTTCTGAAGACACCACACACTTATGCAATCCAACACAGAAAAATCAAGCCGATTCCCAACTATAAGCATCACCCGTTGACTAGTGTTCATGGTGCTGGAAGATATTATGTATGCTACCAGAAGACAAAAATAATCATCAATATTACCCAGTTATGGATCCTATGGCAAGTGGGGCTTATGTTGGAAATTGAAGGATAGATCCCCATTCACAGTTCATTTATGTAATTCACTATGTTTACAAACCAACGGTGGGGTTTATCATTGTTGCAAAAGATTTAGAACCTGAATCTGACAAAATGCTACATTCAGCCATGGCTGAAACTCATAGCAAACTGGGAAGAAAAATCTTCTTAACCTCATACATGGCATCTGAAAACAAAAACAAAAAAAATCTGTAGCTGACAAACTTTCTTCACTGCAAAAGACTGAATTATTTTTTCCCGGGACTGAGAATTAAAAAAAAATCTGTAGCTGACAAACTTTCTCCATGGCAAAAGACTGAATTATTTTTTCCTGGGACTGAGAATTATATGATGATGCCTGTTTTTCCAATGTTAGCCAGAGAAAGCAGGTCCAAAACGTTTTATGTACTATACAGCAAAAAGCAAAGTGTTTACAGATGTCATTGTTTTCTATAAAGAAAACCCACCAATCTATTAAAATGCTATTATAACTGGTAAGAGAATTTAGCAAGCTTGCGGACCAACCATATTTACATGTTCTATAATAAAGATAAATTGAAGTTTGACGGGGTATGGCAGCAGCTCATGCCTGTAAGCTTCACACATGAGAAACGAAGCAGAAGGATTGAAGTGAGTTCACTTGCAGCCTCTGCTACAAAGTGACATGCTGTCTCAGAAGCAGATGAAGGCGAACTAGTGACAATTAGTAATATAGTATTTACAATAGCTCCTTCCAAAAATGAACCTTAAAACATATGCATGGTTTGCATTAAGAGAACACTAATACATTGCTGAAAGAAAAGCAATGAGGGCCTAATGGTTAGATAAATTTATACTATTTGTAGATTAGAAAACAAAGATTTTTTAAGGCCTCAGTTCTCCCCAAAGTAAATAATAGATTCCATGCAGAGGCAGGTGAATCTCTGGCAGTTCAAGGCCAGCCTGGACTACATAGTTAGTTCTGCACCAGCTGGGGCTACATAGTAATACCCTGTCTCAAAATTAGCATTAACAGGATATTTTGTTTTAAGAAAAGATGGGAGTCTATTAATATATTTATATTGGAAGTAAATGTAAGTAGAAGAACCAAAACAATTTTGAAGGAGAAGGATATTAGAGACTTAAAATAAAATTACAGTTTTCAGGATATGTGGTATCAGAGAAGTTACATAAACAGGTTAACAGAATACCCAAATGTAGATCCACACATACATTGTCAATTGATTCAACAAAGGAGCAAAATCAATTCAATAAAGGAACAACAGTTATTTCAACAAATTCAACAAATACTGTGGAATTATTTCAACAGTCATGTGTAATATTTAAAGTCAGTATTTTCCTATTTCTAATACCACATATAAAAATGATATGACATACTTTGATGATCCCCTATGGGAGGCCTCACCCTCTTTGATGAATAGATGGAGGGTGGAATGGGGAGATGGTGGGGGGAGTGAGAGGACGGGAGGAAGAGGGAACTGGGATGGGTATGTAAAATAAAAATGAACTTAAAAAGCAGGCATGCTAGATTGTGCCTGTAATCCCAGCAGTTGGAAGGTTTAGCAGGAGGATGCTGAGTTTAAGGCCAGTATAGGCAATATAACAAGACCCTGTCTCCAGACAGGTGGGTATGAATGAGGAGGAATTAGAGGAGGAGGAAATACGATCTCAAGGTAGATCATAGCAAAGGTGTCAAAAACACATAGTAGAGAAAAGACAGCATCTTCAACAATTAATGCTGGAAAAATATGGGTGTCCACATTCAGAAGAACAAAATTAGACCTGTATCTAGTATCTTGTACAAAAACTAACTACAAATGGAGCAAAAACCTTAATGTGCCACCTGAAATGCAGTAACTGTTAGATGTAGGTGTAGGAAAGGACTTTGCTATTAAGGCTCCATTTGCCCAAGAATTAAGGACAACACTTGACAAGTGGGCCCTAATAAAAATTATTTTTGCAACAAAGGGAGCAATAAAAATGAATGAAGAGGAAACCCAGAGTGAGAGAGGATTTTAACCAGATACATATATGATCGGGGATTAATATTCAGAGTATATAAAGAACTTAAAAACAAGGAGTTATTAGTCTAGAACCATATTCTATATAGCCAACACCCTCGTACCAGGTCTGAGAAACATCCTAATTTTGAATTGTTGTTAAGAAGAGTCCAAGACACCCCCAGAACAAAACAGCTGCTGTCATTTGCCCTTGGTTCCCTCTCAAAATCTCAAGGTCAAGACCATATTGCCGAAGACACCGCACAATTCAAACACAAGACTGGGAGAAACTGAGCTGGATTTGACCTAGAAGCCTCCTCCCTGAGGATTGGCACTCATAGTGTTACAAGCTGCCAAGGAAGAAAAGCAACCAATATATTCCTACCCAGTTGTGATGTTTATAAATCCCAACCATATGAACATTTGCATATTGGCAGTAACCAATGGCTGTCTAATTGGACTTAAGCCTGCTCAATGGGAAGGAATTAATGTCTGGTGCTGTAAACCTAACCAATTAACCATGACTGGTGAGGCCATGGAACCTAGAGGAGAACCTACTATTATCAATTTCCTAAACCAGCATACACTAATTTCATTCTAAGTACTTATACCTACTGAGAAGTGTAGTTCTTACCCCTCATTAAGGAAGCTTCTTTTTTCCCTCAGAAGATGGAGACTATTACAGCAAGTCATAACTGGTTAAAATCATGAGAACCACCTGACCATGGGGTTATCACACCCTAAACTCAAGGCATTCATAAAAAAAGGTACCAGAAAGTATATAAGAACAGGATGGAGGACCAGGATGTCTACTGCAAAAATAGAATGTTCTAGACATGACAGAGAGGTTACATCTATGAAATCTTAACAAAATGG